TATTTAACAAATTTCTTTATAAATCTGTTTACAATGTCAACTAAAAAGTCTGTATCTATGGCTAAATATATTTCCTACTGAGCTAGATCAGACACGAATTAATCGACATCTATGGCATAGGAATATTTCAAAGAAATCTATAAATGAAATACCTAAAATCTGTATTAGCAGTGCCAGTCAGACTCAAATTCTAAAATTACCATGACATAAAGTACAATATAAAGACAAATACTTACTTTTTAATTTCATCTTCTACTATATTTACTCCATCTTTTTGAGGATTAAGAAATTTATTAGTGGCACTGCCAAAGTCACAAAGAACATAGTTCCCACCATCATTCAACAAAATATTTTCTACCTTAAGGAAAGAAAATCAATAATTAGTAGTATTTTCAAAGTAAAAATTAGCTTTTTACAATCATTGTAAAAAATGGTTATTTTTACAAAGTTTATTTTCACGCTATAAACATTGAAGGGTCTGTGCCATATATAAAAATGTGTATATATGTGCCATACATACACACGTGTGCACATGCACACACACACATATATGTATGTATCATATGACATAAGATATCCAAATTATGAGGAAGGACAAATGAACTGGAGCAAAAATATGCTATGTCTACTGCCTCTCTTATTAAGAACAGAGAAATGCTTCTTCCACCCCAGGTTGATTTGTACAGGGTCAAAGAAACCCTAAATTCTCTCTAAAACTGCTTTTATGAAAGAGAAGAACTAGTACCTGGCAGAATCCAGCTTCTCTCTTTTACTATATCACCACTTTTCTCCTTTTACGACGCTTAAGCTTCTCTATAGATAAATAATAATGAAAACCACTGGAATTCCATCTTTGACCTCTAGTACCATTTTTTATTTAAAATACTATACTGGAAAATACAAATTTGACTTAATTTGGAAATCAGAGTTATAGTAACTAAAATAAATTATTATAGTCAGTTTCTTGAATAGTAAAATGTGTGTTCAGAGCCAAATATGCTACTAACTAGCACATGGACCCTTAGACAAACTGCTTAATTGCTCTTGTGTTTTAGGTTCCTTATGTAAAATAGGGACAAATAGAATATTAATCTGCCATATAGAACTGTTGTGAACATTAAATGAGTTAAAATACGTAAAGTGCTTAGAACAGTCTGGAATATGGTAAGCACCTAATAAATTACGCGTTTTTTTCACAATGTCTTTTATTTTTATGATAGTCTTAGATAATTCATTTATTTCCATTTTATCAAAATACTCAGTTTCATTATAACTTTTCACCTATATTTCATTTTAGTATACTTTTTTAAAGATTTGTACAAAATAAAGATTCAGAAAGAAATCTACTTAAAACATATATTGTTGCATGTATTTACACATATAAAAAGAACCATATAAAATACGGGCAAAACAAAATTATGCAATTAAATGTCTTTTCTGAATTCTTTCTGAAAATATCAACTTTGTATGCAAAATATTAATGAACTATAACAACACAAAAAAAAACCACACCAAATTGTTAGGGGAAATGGAAAAGCTGCATATTCAGAAGAACAGGAACTACACTGGTTATCCAAATTAAGGGCAGAGGCCTGCAGTTATGCACTTCAATCCTGCCCTATCTCCTATCATCCTAGGTTTTCTAGATGACACTTTCATGATTGACAGCCTATAATCTTAGTGACATTTTCTATTCTCTTTTATCTTACAAGCATTTCATAATCAACTTTCATAAAATTCTGTATCATCAGTCAGAACTGAGATTCATTCATTCAATATTTATTAAGACTCTTCTATGTATGAAGCATTATTCTAATTGCTTAAATATATAACTAAAAATGAAAGGAAAAAATAAAAAAGGTCCTGGCCCTCATGGAGCTTACGTTCTAGAGGGAGAGGACAGAAAATAAATAATAGACATAGTACATAACCAAACTGTACAATATCACAGGAAGTAATAAGGGCTAATAAAAGGTAGGGCAGGTTAGGCTGTAGTGATAAATATGGTGGCTCACGACGGGACTCACTGAGAAGGTGAACCTGAGCAGACCTGAAGGAGTGGAAAGGGTAGCCAGGGTAATATCTAGGCATAAAGCATTTCAGAGGGAGTGATTTTTGTAATCTCAGTGTTCTTGTGGGCATGAAAGAAGACTTTTGTGGTTCTAAATTACGTCTCTAGCAATATAATGCCAGACTATTCAATACTCTTTGGGGACTTTTTTCAATGTAACAAGTGAGTAGCAACATAAGAGGTCAAGAGTCCACAAGAAGATAAAGTGACCTTCAAGATAACTGTTACCAAATTATAGAAAATAATAGAAAACTGTACTAACTTATAAAGAAAAAGAAAAAGAGACCCACTTATGGTCTCCTCCTCCAGTATCTCTTGAGAACACCTTGATGCTTAATATGGATTACAGGAAATAGGAGGAATGCTAGCTGAACTGAGAGAATAGTGTGGAGAGACATTTAACATATGTCTGTGAAAAATTGCACTTCTGTTCAAATGAAATCTTTTAAAGAAGCCTACTATATAAAACAGAGATACAGGGTAGAAAGTACAAAATCTGCCTCCACAGCCATGCTAGAAATCCTCAAAGTCAAGTAAAGCACAATTTCAAATCTACAATAACTCTATAAGACCTCAGGAAATGTAGAATGGGAGAGAGACACTAATCTCAAAGCTAGTTTTTATACTGATTTAGACAAAAATAGTCTAAGAACATTTAAACTCCAACTTATTACTTAATCCATAGGTATTCTAAAGTTCTTACCTTCAGATCCCGGTGAATTATTGGAGTCTTACACTGATGCAACCTTGCAACAGCTTCACAGGTATCACAGAATATCTGTAACACTTCTGGTTCTGTAAAACCTGTCTGTAGCTTCTTATTCATTTGATTCACTACCTGCCCAGCTAACCAAAAAAGTAATTTTGAGAGGACATATTTTTCATTAAAAAAGTCTATCACAAGTAAATTAAGAAATGTCTTTCTGGTCTCAGGTAATGGGAAATTGGCTTTTTCATAATTCTCAGGTAAGAATGCTTATTGTATCATATTGTACTGATGCAATGACACACATTTTTTCACATTTTACATCTCAGAGATCATCTTAAAATAGATAAATGTCTTATTAATGCTATTGCCCACTTTTTTTTTTTAACATTTCTGAAATCAAAGTATATCTAATAATTAATGGCATACTGGTTTGAAGAAATATTCAACCATGAAGAAATTATTCAACAGCATGCTATTTATGGGGTAAACAGTGGCGAACAAAAAATAAGGTTTCTGTTATCACAGACTTTACAGTCTAAAGGTAGAAGCAATCACACAAATAGATAAACAGCAATAATTATATATCATAACAATAATATAAAATAATTTACATAAGACTCTAACTTTAAATTGTGAAGAAAGATAAGGAGGAGAGGCTACCAGATCAGGTCTAAGGAAGTGATATTTGAGACCAAAGGATAATGAGGAATCAACCAGACGGAGACTCGCGAGAACAATATACTAGCAATAGTGAGTACCATATACAAATGCCATCAGTTTTGGAAAGAGCTTGATGACTTTGAATAACTCAAAGAAAGCCAATATGACTTTCTTTACAACCTAAAGAAAGCTGATATGGTCTAGGAAGCTATGGAGACAGTAAGGTGACATAAATTGGCAAGGACAGGGATCAGTCATATTTTAGATTCTATCTTGAGAGCCAAAGAAACTTCCTCATCTGACTTTTTTAAAAAATCTCATCGAGGGTTAAGGGAATCAAAATGGGTTAGGAGGCAAAGTCTATCCAGACAAAAGATAATGGACCAAAATAATCAACTAAAATCAAATTGCCACACTTATACCATTGAGCCCTGAGAACGTTATATATTACAATATAGAAATTGATAGTCTAATAATTATTAACAAAGGGTTAATCATCATTATATTTTAAGAATGCAAGTAAGTATATGATTCATACAGAAAGCAGTCTAATAAAAATTGAGTATGGGAATTTAAAAAAACATAGAGCAACTTTCCAAGTTTAGATAAATAAACATTTGCTATTTTACAATCTATGAAAAGGTACATATACACTCGTTCCTTGTGTTATTACTGTCTAAGCAGTCTTGTCTTTTCTGAGAATATTTTTCTCATAGGATTATAAAGCAAAAATAACATGAATTTTACCTATGAATGCCCAACTTTCAAAAGACTCAGGTGTAATTTGTTCAGATTATCTCAGAAGACTGGGGCACATGACCATGCAGCAACTTCTTCCACTCCCTCGTCTGGCATACTCCCTGTCTATTCTAAACTAGACAGGCTGGTTTTAACCAAAAATTAAATAGGATTAAAAAATGCTTTCTCGGTGTTCATTCACATTCATGAAATATCACATTATACATAAGGAAATCATAACCTTGAAATCACCACACCTCTTCCAAACTTTCAATATTATAAGAAGCAGAATCAACTTTAAACGAACATTAATTCTCTTTCTTCAATCTAGAGATCTTTGAAGTAGGAATCCTGAATCACAAAAAACAAGTCCCCAGAGAAAACTAAAAACTGTATTTGGTTAAATTTCAAATGAAATAAAATTTCATTACTGAATATCAGTTTTCTGAAAATTAAATAAAGCTTAAAAGAAGGTAAAAAATCAGATTTGGAAATCAAACATTACATACTAAGGGTCTTTTAAAATGAGGTGCCTATAACTCTCAACGCTTTCCATATTTTCCAAAGAGATATCATCTCCAAACAAAAGCTTTTTATACTCTGCCAAATTTCATCACTAACATTAAAAAGTCAACATTTTTCTAACCTCTTAAAGGTGTTCAACAACCTCCATATCTGATTACACATATTACTGATCAGTTTTAAAAAACCATAAATGCAACCTATTATTCCACTTAAATTTTAATAATGTGACTTATTTATTTTTACAAGTGTGATGGTTAATACTGAGTGTCAACTTGATTGGATTGAAAGATGCAAAGTACTGATTCTGGGTGTCTGTGAGGGTACTGCCAAAGGAGATTAACATTTGAGTCAATGGGCTGGGAAAGGCAGACTCACCCTTAATATGGGTGGGCACAAGCTAATCAACTACCAGCACAGCCAGAATAAAAAGCAGGCAGAAGAACTAAAAAGACTAGACTGGCTGAGCCTCCCAGCCTACATCTTTCTCCTATGCTGGATGCTTCCTGCCCTCAAACATCTCTCTAGTTGCTTCAGCTTTTAGACTTAGACTGGCTTCCTCACTCCTCAGCTTGCAGATGGCCTATAGTGGGACCTTGTGATCTCATGAGTTAATACTCCTTAATAAACTCTCATATGTGTGTATATATATACACATACATATATCCCATTAGTTCTGTTCCTCTAGAAAACCCTGGTTAATACAACAAGATTATTCAATTTTATCTGTAGTAGATTGCATTATTGGTCCCAAATCTTCAACCTTCACTTTTTACATGTACTTTGTTATGTAACTCTGCAGTTTGTCCCAGTAAATGAGGCAGAGAAAATTTCTTGCCGTTTGATTTGGGCTTAGTCATTTGATTTTCTCTGGCCAACAGAAAAAGGTAAAAGTGTCAGTGTCCCAGCCCCAAGACTAGACCTTAAGAGACCTCACATGCCTTCTTATGTTTCTACCATCCACATGAGAAAACCATCCCCAGGGCAGCTTGATAGTGCCAGAAAGAGGACAACGAACATGTGAAGCAGAGCCATTCCAACTAATCCCAGCTAACCACTGGCATGTGAGCAAGCCCTGCCAAAATCTGCAATGCCACCCTATCAAGCTAAGTTGAAAGCAGCTGGACCATGGATACACAGGCTATAATAAAGGAATGTTGTTTTATGCTATTGAGTTTTGGGATTTTCTTAAATTAAGGAAATATTAACAGATATATAATCCATGGAAACTATGCAGAATACTTCCTAAAAATATACATTAAACATTTATAAATTTTCATAATTTATTCACAAATTATTCATGAAATAATAGAAATGTACTCAAAATACCAATACTGATTTCCAGATAAATTATTAATAAAGATAAATTAAAGGACATAATTTATCTTTAATCTATGCATCAAAATATTAACAAATAAAGCAGTACCAAACCATGAATTTACAAAGACAAAAGATGATTACACTTGACAAAGATCATCGTAAACACTGGATACCTAAAACCATGGAAGGGGATATGGGCTATGTCACATATTCTTCTGTCCATACAATTTTATTCCTACATAATAAAAACCAATGCCCCTGAGCTTATCTAATTGATTCATCTGAGAAAAGAGACTGAGTATACCCCATTCAGAAAATTGAGCATACTCTATTCAGGCCTTCTGGATTTCTTCTCTGAAGAAATAACTGCCCACTTAGGGGGTACAACTAGTCTGTAACACATGCAGTAACCTTAGAAGGCAAAACATCTGAAGAAAACTTTGAACAAAAAAAGAAAAAGCATGGTCTGGCTGTGTCCACACCCAAATCTCATCTTGAATTCCCACATGTTGTGAGAGGGACCCCTTGGGAGGTAACGGAATCATGGGGGCAAGTCTTTTCCATGCTGTTCTTGTGACGGTAAGTTTCAAGAGATCTGATGGTTTTAAAAAGAGGAGTTCCCCTGCACAAGCTGTCTATCTTTGTCTGCTGCCTCCATGTAAGATGTGACTTGCTCCTTCTTGCCTTCTGCCATGATTGTGAGGCTTCCCTAGCCACGTGTAACTGTAAGTCCAATTAAATCTCTTTCTTTTGTAAATTGCCCAGTCTTGGGTATGTCCTTAGTAGCATAAAAACATACAAATACATCAAGGAAAAGAAAAAAAATTAAAAACTAAAATTAGCTGGGTACAGTAATTTTGCCCTTAATCCCAACACTTTGGGAGGCTGAGATGGGAGGATTTCTTGAGACCAGGAGTTCCAGACCACACTGGGCTACTAAGCAAGATCCTGTTTCTACAACAAATTAAAAATTTAAAAATTGGCCAGGCATGGCCATGTGTGACTCTAATCCCAGCTACTCAAGAGGCTGAGGCAGAAGGATCACTTGAGTCCAGCAGTTTGAGGTTGGACACCAGTGTGGAAGACAAGTGAGACCCTGTCTCAAAAAGAAAGAAAGAGCAGAGGTGGAAAGAAAGAAAAAATGAACAAACTGAAATTAATATCTACAGACAACAAAAGATTCGCAGCTAGAACAAGAACAAGGTGTATTTTTTCCCCATAGCATGGCAACAAGATGTATTTTAGCAAAGAACACTGACAGAACAAGAAAGAGTCAGGCTTGGAGCAGTGGTTCATGCCCATAATCCCAGCACTCTGGGAGGCCGAGGTAGACAGATCACTTGAAGTCAGGAGTTCAAGACCAGCCTGGCCAACATGGCGAAATCCAGTCTCTAAAACAAATTTAAAAGATTAGTCAGATATGGTAGTACACACCTGTAATCCCAGCCACTCAGGAGGCCAAGGCACAAGAATTGCTTGAACTCAGGAGGCAGAGGTTGCAGTGAGCTGAGATGGTGCCACTGCACACTGTAGCCTGGGTAACAGAGCAAGACTCTATCTCCAAAAAAAAAAAAAAAAAAAAAAAAGAAAGGAGTCCCTGGAAATTAAAAATAACATAGCAGAAATACAAAAAAAAAAAATTTGTGTATTTCTTATTTTGTATATCTCTATAGAGAAGAGCTAACAGATACAGAGGAATGTTTCCAACAAAGAAAAAAATAAGAAAGAAATGGAAAATAAGAAAGAAAAGAAAATCAGAGGATTATCAATCTAGAAAGCTTGAAACATCTTAAGGAATATGAGAAGTCCAGTAAGAAAGAACAGAAAATGGAAGACAAAAACGCTAGGTGCCCCATAAAAAGCATACAAAAAAAGACACACATTAAGGCACATACATTTTGAAATTTCAATATGCTATAGATAAAGGAAAGATTCAAACTAAGTGTCCATGAAGATAAGAAGTCACATAGAAAAATTAAGCTATCACAGTAACATCGATTTCTCAACAACACTTAAGAAAAAAGTGGAATGATGTCTTCAAAATTCTAGATCAAAATTATTTCCAACATATAATGTTTGCCAGCCAAATTAACAATCAAATGTAGGCCCTGAATAAAGATATGTTTATATATGCAAGGTTTCAAAACCATTTCTCCCAAAAATCCAGTTAGAAAGCTACTGAAAAGCATACTCTTCCAAATTAGGGAGTGAAAACAAAGGAGAGGCATAAGTATCAGGGAATCCAAGATAAAAGGGAGGCAAAGGGAATTTCCGAATGACAGCTAAATGCTGTTTAAACTTAAGCAGGATTTTAAGGGAAGAAAAAATGAAATCAACAAAAATATTAAAATGTCTAAACATACTGCATAATTATTTGTACTTCTATTGGAAAATGTGGGACTAAAATACTAATATACATGAAGAAAATCAGGCAAATGAAAAACGAGGTAATTACTAACTCCAGGAAAACACAAAGTATAAGAAAATACAATTACAATCACCATTAAATGGCAAAATAAACACTGATTTAGTCCAAAACCTAAGAATATCTATACTTGAAGTAAAATCCCCATCTTTTCTTAGAGACAATATCTAGAACAGAAAATCAGAAATAGTACTAGAAAACTTTCTTTCAATAGCCTCCTCATGCCCAGAATTACATACTTCCCTTGATTTTCTAAGCCCTTTCTCTTTTGTACCCGTAGGAAAACATTAAATTATTGATTCTCTTTTATATAATGCAGTGTAGAAATATGAAAGTAAATATGAGAAGAAACATCTCAAATATTTTAAAGACACTGCCTCTGAGAAGAGAGATGAGGCAGGAGGGTACTGATTTAGCCACAGCTTAACAGAACTATTTGACTTTTCAAACCATATACATAAATTACTTCGATAAAAATTTACAATTTATACCACAGAGCTTGATGATTTGAAGACTGGATAACTTTTTCTAAAAATATTTTAAAACAAAACAATGCATACCTCAAAAAACAGATATGATCATTCTTCTACTTTAAAATAAAATTTGCCCCTAAAACTTGAAAGTCATTTGATTCTCCTTTTAAGATGTCTTATAAGTGACAATTAATTAAATTTATCCAGGGTTATGATTTTGCGTGATTCAAGTATCTTTTAAAAGTTACAAGTAGTCAAGGGCTATTAGTAAACTCTAACTAAGAATTAGCACTATCGATGCCAGGATTCAGGAAAATGGGGTAGAAAAAAATGAGTATCTTCTCCTAAAAGAGATTACAGTACTTTATAGTAGAGAAGATAAGATATAAAGAAAAAACAATCGAGTTTGTTTGTTCAAACAATCATAGGGGGCAAGTCTTTCCCATGCTGTTCTCGTGATGGTCAATAAGTCTCATGAGATCTGATGATTTTCAAAAGAGGAGTTCCTCTGCACAAACTCTTTTCTGTTCAATCGAGTTTATTAAACTCAATTAAATGTTAAATGTTAGTTAAATATTATGTATGGAAATAAGTTACAAATACATCACAGTAGGCATCGTAACAGTGATTCACATCATTTTCCCCTATCTTTCCCTCCTTAAAAGACTGCAGTAAACAAGATCATATTTTCTCTAACATCATCATCATTCCCCTCTTCCTCCTCAACCATCAAGAAACTATAAGAGTTCCTGGAATAGTAATTACTGTCTTAAGAGAATGTAAATGCAAACCAGGGCTGCCTAGAACCACAAGTGCCAAATATGACTTGCAAGTTTGTAGGAAATAGATTATTTGCCTCCACCTTTCCACACATTAAAATTTTTAAATGTCAGGAATTTTTTGTTATGATAATGATTAAGGTAGGTTATACAAATAAATATTTATTTTAAAATAACACACTGGGTCCAAATAAAATGTGATTTTCTATCTTCTAATGTTTACAAAAGAACACCAAGAAACTACATAAAACAGGTTTATAAAGTCTACAGATCAAAATGCATCCTCTAAATTTGTTAAATTTAATATTTATGATAACACGGGAGAATAATGGAAAAATCTTACAACATTAATATTGACACATTATGCTCTTCTTGGTTTGATTACCAGAGAATTCTATGGAGAGAAAGAACTGTAACTCTGTACCTGCTTAGATTTCCTATTTTAAACTCAATACCACTTTTCTCATTCTGCATTTACATGCTCATATCATAATTGCAGCAACTATGACTAGGTTTATGAACAATGTTTTTGTTTTTATTTTTTTGAGACTGAGTCTCGCTCTGTTGCCAGGCTGGAGTGAAGTGGCTCCATCTCAGCGCACTGCAATCTCCACCTCCTGTGTTCAAGCGATTCTCCTGCCTCAGCCTCCCGAGTAGCTAGGAGTAGAGGCGCACACCACCACACCCAACTAATTTTTGTAGTTTTAGTAGAGGCGGGGTTTCACCATGTTGGCCAGGATGGTGTCCATCTCCTGTGTGATTCTCCTGCCTTGGCCTCCCAAAGAGCTGGGATTACAGGCATTAGCCACTGAGCCACCGAGTGCAGCCTTGAATAATGTTTTAACACTATTCCTAACTAGATAATGAAAGCTAAGATTACTATAAGTGACTAGATTAAGTTAACAGCTACCCTGGAAATAACGAAGATATCTAGCAACCCATTTAAGGAGAAGTTTTTTATTATAGTACAAATGCAGAAAAATACTTACCTCGACAATATTCCATTAAGATAAGGACTTCCCATACATTATCACTAATTGAATTAACAGCACAGTCCAAATAACCCACAATATTTTTGTGACCAGATAACTCTTTCTGGAAAGAAAAAAGAAATAAAAACTGGAAAATATACATTTTAGAGGTATAGCATTAGTAATGGTCTGAAGACTAAATTAATGTATTTAAAGAATTTCAAAAAGCAATAATTAAGCACGAGTATAGAATCTAACACATTTCAACCAAGCAAAGGCTTCTATGGTTTCAATAAAAAGTTTACCTGGGTGTGACTGCAATTTTCCAACAGACAAATATGAATATTATTTTTAAATTAAACTGTGAAAATGGTTCACTCAAAAGTAATAGTTCCCAAAAGTGTACAAAGAACTTGAAAATAAAATATTAGAACTTTTATATTTGTTTTTATCTAAAAAAATTTTTTAAATTAACCTCTAATATTTATTAACAATTATATGCTCATTTATTTTGCCTGCAACATATTGCAATTTATGTGTAGCTATTACATGAATTTATATACACACAGTTTTAACTAAATAACATAAAAAAAGGAACAAATGGCTAAAAAGATTTCTGAAAAGAAACCATAAAGATAATGCTAATATAAATATAAGAATATAAGAAAAGAAACTTTTGCATCTAGTACAAGATAGTCATCTGCATACAATGAGGTCAGAAATAACAATCTACTCTGTTCTACCAGGAAGTTTAAAAACAACTATTACAAATATTATTTAAAATAAATTTACATTAAATATCATTAGCAATAAACTTACTTTTAACTATGTAATATAATTTGAAATAAGGGCTAAGGGCCACTGAACATGTGAATTACTTATAAACTAGTATACATAATGGGGATGAGTTATCAAAAAAGTTGATAGACCACACTAAAGAACTAATTTCCCCAAAAAATGTTCAAAAGCATAGGATTTGAGTGTGCTGCTCCTCATATATTGTATGTCTCAAAATCATACAAATTTTATTGAATAGAAGAATTATGACACAACAGTCCAAGACTGTAACATCTGGACTCAAGATAGAGAACTTAGTCTAAGCTTTGCCATTATCATGAGGTAAATCTTTTCACCCTTCTAGCTAATAGCCTTACCTTTAAAAAAGTAAATGTCAAAGCCTAATCATCTCTAATCTAGTTAAGAAAAAGAGAAAAGCAGAATTCGAAAAAGTCAGATTGGCAAATGCACTTACTTGCTAACAAAAGGGATTGTAATATGTGTGTTAGTAAAAACGTTGATACAAAATAAGAAATCCCTCTCTTAGCAGGTGGATAAGTAGGACTGACATTAATAACAAGTGTTGGCAAGCATATGGAAAAATACATTCCTTGGAACATGAAATGGTTCACTGCTATGGAAAACAGTTAACATAAAATTACATATGACTCAACAATTCTACTCCTAGGTATATACCCAAAACAACTGAAACCGGGTACTCAAGCAAATAGATGTATGCACGTATTCATGGCAGCATTAATCATAATAGCCAAAAGATAGAAACAGCCCTAATGCACATCAAATAATTTTTTAAACTCCATCAACAGATGAATGATAAACTGTGTTACAGACATATAATGGGATATAATTCAGCCATAAAAAATAAAGATGCTATAATTATGTGAATTTCACCTCAACAAAATAATCTTCAAATATATATATACACCTGTGTGTGTGTTTGTATGTAAGCACTCAACAAACCATGGAGAAGAGAAAAGAGGATGAAGAGGAGGGGAGAAATGGGAAAACAAGGAGTAAAAACAAGAACAGGAAGCCATACAGAGCACTGAGCATAAGCAACCCTAATAAAGAAGAAAATTTTTATTTTAAATATATATAACATTTATTTACTATTTAGGCTAGTTAAGTTAGAGTCATGACGTTTGTAATGGCCTATTTTTTTTCACTTTTCCTAATATTTAAAAAGAAGTTTTCCCTTGCTGAAAGATGCCTTGCCATAAATTGCAGAGTTCACAGAAAAACAATCAACATTAGAGCATGATATTACAACTGAAAAACAAAACTATTGTTTGTGAACAGAAACACATACAGTGAATGCAAAGGAATAAAAACATAGAATTCAGGACAGTATGATTTTTTTTGGATAAGGAGAACAGTAAAGGTGTACTTCATTTTATTGTGCTACATTTTTTTAAAGTGGTACTTTGCTTTATTATGCTCTGCGGATACTGCATTTTATACAAATAAAAGGTTTGTGGCAATCCTGCATAGAACAAGTTTATAGGCACTATTTTTCCAATGACTTAGTTTATTTTTCTAATACCTCTGTGTCATATTTTGGTAATTCTCACACTATTTCAAACTTTGCCTTTATTATAACAACAGTTACGATAATTTGTGATCAGTGATGGTTAACGTTATTATTCTAATTGATGTACGGTAACACAAACTTTGCCCATATAACACAGTGAATTCAATCAATAAATGTCATATGTGTTCTAACTGTTCCACTGGCTACCCATTCCTCAGGGTCCCTTCTCCTTGGGATTCCCTATGTCATAAAACACAACAATACTGAAGAGTCCCACAACTCTTGTTTTAATCAAAAGCTAGAAATGATTAAGCTAGTGAGAAAGGTACATGGAAAGCCAAAGAAGGGCGACATCTAAGCCTCTTACACCAGTTAGCCAAATTTTGAATGCAAAGGAAAAATTCTTGAAGGAAATTAAAAGTGCTACTCCCATGGACATACAAATGGTAAAAAGGCAAAAGAGCCTTATTGCTGACATGGAGAAAGCTTTTAATGGTCTAGACAGATCAAACCAATTGCTACATTCCCTTAAGCCAAAGCTTTAAACAAGAGCAAGGTCCCAACTGCCTTCAATTCTATGAAGGCTGAGGAACTGAAAAAGCTGCACAAGAATAGTTTGAAGCTCGCAGAGGTTAGTTCATGAGGTTTAAGGAAAGAAGCCATCTCCAGCACATGTAAGCATAAGGTAAAGCAGGAACTGCACCAAGTTATTCAGAGGATTTAACTAAGATCATTGATGAATGTGGCTACATTAAACAACAGATTTTCAATGTAGACGAAAATAGCCTTCTACTGGAAAAAGATGCCATCTAGGATTTTTATAGCTAAAGAGAACAAGTTGATGCCTGGCTTCAAAGTTTCAAAGGACAGGTTAACTCTCTTGTTAAGGGCTAATGCAACTGGTGACTTTAAGTTGAAACCAATGCTTACTTGCCATTCCAACACTCCTAGGCCCTTATGAACTATGCTAAACCTACTCTGCCTGTGCTCTATAAATAAAACAACAGCCTGATGACGTGACATCTGTTTCCAGCATGGTTCACTGAATATTTTAAGCCCACTGTTGAAATCTACTGATAAGAAAATAAGATTCCTTTCAAAATGTTACTGCTCATTGACAATATGCCTAGTCACCCATGAGCTCTGATGGAAATGTACAAAAAAATTAATATTGTTGGCTGGGCGCAGTGGCTCTTGTCTGTAATCCTAGCACTTTGGGAGTCCAAGGTGGGCAGATCACTTAAGCTCAGGAGTTCAAGGCTGGCCTGGGCAACATGGTGAAACCCCATCTCTACTAAAAATACAAAAATTAGCCAGGCATGATGGCACCTGCCTGTAGTCCCAGCTACTCGGGAGGCTGTTCCACAAGAATCCCTTGAATCTGGGAGACAAAGGTTGCAGTGAGCCAAGATTGTACCACCACAGTCCAGCCTGGGCAACAGAGCAGGATTTCATTTCAAAGAAAAAAAAGAAAGAAAGACAGAAATTAATATTTTTTTCATGCCTGCTAACACAACATCCATTCTGCAGCCCATGAGTCAAGCAGTAATTTTAACTTTCAAGTCTTATTACATAAAAAACGTATTTCTTTTGTTTTTATGAAACAAAGTCTCGCTCTGTAGCCCAGGCTAGAGTGCAATGGCGAGATCTCGGCTCACTGTAGCCTCCACCTCCCAGGTTCATAGGATTCTCCTGCCTCTTAGCCTCCTGAGTAGTTGGGATTACAGTCGCCCACCACCATGCCTGGCTAATTTTTTGTATTTTTAGTAGAAACGGGGTTTCACTATGTTGGCCAGGCTGGTCTCAAACTCCTAACCTCATGATCTGCCCGCCTCAGCCTCCCAAAATGCTGGGAATACAGGCGTGAGCTATCACACCCTGCCCATATTTCTTAAGACTATAGCTGCCATAAATAATTATTTCTCTGATGGATCTGGGCAAAGTAAATTAAAAACCTAAAGTCCTACTGTGGATAAAGTACTATCAAATAGTATTGCATGCTACAGAAAAAGCTTTCATAAAAGGAAAAGTCAACTGATGTAGCAAACTTCACTATGTCTAAAACCCATTTATGCCTACTGTTCCATTATTGGAATGCTAGGCATGTGGGAGTTATTTATATCCTACTCAAGGTCATCGCCAAGGTCTGATTTTTCACTCACGCAAAAATTCAAAAAATTGCAATCTCCGGCATAAATGGGTTAAGAAACTTCCACAGCTACCCCTGCCCCTTGCTTCAGCAACCACCGCCCTGATCAGTCAGCAGCCTTCAACATCAAATCAGGTGATAATCACCATTTTTTAACAAGAAAGTCTTTTTAAAAGGTATATACAATTTTTTTTAGACATAACGCTATTGTACGTTTTATAGACTACAGTGGAGTGTTGTGGTGTTATGATACTCTATGTTGGTTTGTGTCCACAGTTCCTGATTTGTAACTCCCAAAGCCCTAGTCACAGTCTTTTGTTATAATATTGGGTATCTTAGCCCTCAGGAAACAGAATCTCTCTCCTGCCCTCCTTTCACCTGCCCCAAGGCAGGACTCTTAATCTTTGCCCACCCTTCTGATTGTGGATCTTAAAGCACTCCCCAGAGAGAGTCCTACACTATACCCTAAGGGAAGGAATGCTGACATCATGAAGCTTCCATAAAAACCCAGAGGACTGGGTTCAGAGAGCTTCCAGATAGCTGAATATGTGAAAGTTCCTAGAGATGTGCCTAGGGAGGGCAAGGAAGCTCTGAAACCCTTCCCCCATACCTCATACCCTATGCATCACTTCATTTGTATCCTTTGCAATATCCTTTAAAATACACCACTAGGGCCGGGTGCGGTGGCTCAAGCCTGTAATCCCAGCACTTTGGGAGGCCGAGGCGGGTGGATCACGAGGTCAAGAGATCAAGACCATCCTGGTCAACATGGTGAAACCCCGTCTCTACTAAAAATACAAAAAATTAGCTGGGCATGGTGGTGCGTGCCTGTAATCCCAGCTACTCAGGAGGCTGAGGCAGGAGAATTGCCTGAACCCAGGAGGCGGAGGTTGCGGTGAGCCGAAATCGCGCCCTTGCACTCCAGCCTGGGTAACATGAGTGAAACTCCGTCTCAAAAAAAAAAAAAAAAATACACCACTAACACCAAAGTGTTTCCCTGAGTTCTGTGAGCCACTTTAGCAAATTAATAGAACCTAAAGAGTGGGTGGTGGGAATCACAATTTTAAGTCGGTCTGTCAGAAGATGAAGGCTAGAAGACTCAGCAAGTTTGCTCTTCCATCTTCTCCTACCTGCTTTATTCTAGCCATGCTGGCAGCACATTAGATGGTACCCACCCAGATTGAGGGTGGGTCTGCTCTCATGCTACCTGGGGAATGCAAGGTGGAGACACTCTTAAGTAGGGAGCCTCTTTATCCCTAGGACTGACCCTAGAACTGTGTGAGGTACTGCTGGATTCTACTGACACTTGGACAGTACTATGAACAGCTCTTAACTGACCAACAAGGAGTTACTTGGTTTACAGACGGCAGTTCCAAAGCGATAGACAACATTCTGTTTGGATGGCTGCTACTTGGATCAAGGAAGTTAAACATATCAGTGAGGTGGGCTGAATTACATGCAGTTTTGTTTTTTTTTTTTTTTAGCAGTAATGGAAGAAATGAACAGTGGTGGAAGTCCCTGTGTTTTAAGTTCTTTACTGACTCACAGGCAGTGATCAATGGCCTGTCACACAGCGTATGGAAATTTGAGGGGTGCATTAAAGTAAAACATGTCAGTGCCCATCAGAAGAACTCCCTTCCAGGTTGGGAAGGTGAATGGAATCAGCAAGCAGGTCTGTGCATGTGCTCCCTTGGAGATGTCCATCTGGGTCCATGAAATGAGTGCACATATGGATACTGTAGCCCTCAGGGGTCTACGAATAGGTCTTGACAGGAATAGACGTTGACTCTGGAGTGGGCTTTGCTTATGCAGTGGAAGATGAAAATACTCAGAATGCCATAAAAAAGCCAGAACAAAAGACAGTGTATGAATTTACAGGGTCAACCATCATTTCTTCAGACCAAGGAACACAATGTACATCATAATGTTCAACAATGGGGCAGAGAAAGGTCCTCCTCAGAGTACTAGTTTGATGGAGAAGTAGAATAGGCAACTGAAACATTGGTCTAATACATGGGCAGATAAAAACAGTAACCATAACTTTTGTATGCACTGGGAAGCCAAAAAAATTTTTCTTTGTTGCAACATTCACTTCATTGCAGTAGTCCTAGAATTAAACTGGTATCTCCAAGGTTTGCCTGTACAGGGATACAGTGGAGAAGAAACACACAGAAGGCTCCAATAGCATAAGTTGGGTTTAATTTCTTAAGCAGGATGGTGAACAAACTTGGTGTTTACTATATAAGTCTGTAAATATTTCTATCCTGAAAACAGTTCACAACTAAAATGTATTTAAGAAAAAAAAAAAGAAAGAAACCAGAATAGTTTTAAAGTATACAGGAGGATGTGTGCAGGTTACATGCAAATACTACATTTTACATAAGGGCTTTTAGTATTCTCAGATCTGAGCATCTGCAGAGTTTAGTATTTGTAGTGGCCCTGGAACCAAATCCCCAACCAAGGGATGACTCCACTATAAATTACTAGATTATCTTCTAATTAAATGATCTTCAAAGATTACTATAAATAAGCAGCTTGCATAAAAGCTGGTTAATGTTACAGAAAAAAATAAAACAGGCCAGGCACAGTGGCTCACAGCTGTAATCCCAGGATTTTGGAAGGCCAAGGCAAGCAGACCACTTGAGGTCAGGAGTTCAAGACCAGCATGCCCGACATGATAAAATGCCATCTCTGCCGGGCGCGGTGGCTCACGCCTGTAATCCCAGCACTTTGGGAGGCCGAGGCGGGTGGATCAGCTGGGCACAGTGGCGCGTGCCTGTAATCCCAGCTACTCAGGAGGCTGAGGCAGGAGAATTGCCTGAACCCAGGAGGCAGAGGTTGCGGTGAGCCGAGACCGTGCCATTGCACTCCAGCCTGGGCATCAAGAGCGAAACTCCGTCTCAAAAAATAATAAAAAAAAATGCCATCTCTACTAAAAACACAAAAAATTAGCCAGGTATGGTGGTGGGCACCTGTAATCCCAGCTACTCAGGAGGCTGAGGCATGAGAATTGCTTGAACCTGGGAGCTGGAGGTTGCAGTGAGCTGAGATCATGCCAGTACACTCCAGCTTGGGCAGCAAAGCAAGACTCTATCTCAAGGGGAAAAAAAAAAAAAAAAAAAAACTGCCAAATTTCTGAAAGAGAATTACTTTTTCACTTACCATAATTGTAATTTCCCTTTTACACACATTGAGGTCTGGCATGTTATTGACATACATTCGCTTCAATGCACATCGGATTCCACCGTGAGTACGCACGAGGAAAACTGTGGAGAATCCACCTAAAAAAACAAAGCACCAATAAATTTAAAAGAAACAGAAACAAATGCCAAAATCATATAACATCATTGCGGAACTTACTATTGGAGGAAAATAAACAATGACTGTGCCCAAGACAAAAATAAGTGCAATAAGCTACTAGTAGATTAAACACCAAAACACTGGCTTCCTAAGCCAATCATGAAGTAGTACTTAGAGGAAAAACATGCTTCTCAAATGTAGATGCTTCTCTCCTAAATGCTAAACGACTAAAATTTCATCTTTTGCATACGAATATCTCTTATACAGTATAATAAAAAATGTCACAATTATGTTACTAAAGTTTGGTATATACAAGTGATTGCCTACATATCGGACTCTCCCTCTTGGATGACAAAACATTGATGTTATTTAATATGAGACATCAACGGGATCAGTTAGGTGCTTCCCTCCTCCACTTCCAGAAGATGAACCAACATTGTTTCTAAACCCATCATAAGAATCTCATTTACCCTGACCAGTAACTGATTTAGAATTGGATATGTAACCAGTTCTCGCTAATTGAACATGTAGAGTCAGCCTGAGTTGCAGGGAATGATTTTCCACAGATAAAAGAGAGAGATTGGTAGATAAGACTCTGCTCCTCTGCTTTTTGATTTTGTTGCCTATGATGTTTAGACCTAATGCAGTCATCTGTGGCCATAATGGAAGAAATAATCAGAAAGAAAATGACCTAAAACACAGACATATGGCCTACAGAATAAGACTCCCTCTAGAACTCACAGAGTAACCACCTCCCTCTAGAACTCACATAGTAAATGTCTTCATTACTTAAGCCATGATTTATATGGAAATTCTGTTAACTGTAGCTGAGAAAGCATCATATCTGAAGCATATAGCTAGGCAGGTATTCTAAAGAACAATTCTGTCACATCTAAACAAAGATTTCCACCATAACTTTTTAAAATTTATCTTGACACAGAACATGCTACAGCTTAATTACTTGTTTTTTTAAATGGTGTGTCGCTTTCATTAATTTGACAGTCTCTAGAAAGCAGCATCCTGAGCAATAATAAGTCACCTGCACTCTGGTCAATACAAAGTTGTAAAAGGAAAAGTAAACTATTAGAAATACATCATAGGGGAAAAAAGCTCTGATATGATTTGGCTGTGTCCCCAACCAAATCTCACTATGAATTGTAATAACCCCACATGTTGAAGGCAGAGCCCAGTGGAGATAATTGAAACATGGGGGTAGATTCCCCCATACTGTTCTCATGGTAGTGAGGTCTCACAAGATCTAATGGTTTTATAAATGGAAGTTCCCCTGTATAAGCTCTCTTGCCTGCCACCATGTAAGATGTGACTTTGTTCCTCATCCACCTGCCATGATTGTGAGGCCTCCCCAGCTATGTGGAACTGTGAGTTAATTACATCTCTTTCCTTTATCAATTATCCAGTCTTGGGTACGTCTTTATTAGCAGTGTGAGAGCAGACTAATACAAGTCTTAGGAAACTCCAGAATCAGTACATGCTCTTTCCAGATTCTCTACATCTTCCATTTGCAGTTATAAGAAACTGCGCAACTTCCCATTTGTAGATCTGGATTTCCATATACATCGTGTTGGGGAAATCAAATCAACCACCCCACAAGGCAGTTCTAGGAATAAATCAGATGATGACGATGTTTGGTACTTTAGGTAAAATAGGTAAAATCTCTAACAATTCAGGGCACTACTTTAAAAGAAACTCATTTAGCATTAATTTCATATGTAAACATTAACAAACCAGAAAGTAAAAGACCTAATGGAGAGGGCCACTTAAACTACCATATTTTATTTGGTTTTAAAATCTCAGGAAAATGTGGAAAGAAAGAATATATCTAAATAAGGAGGTGGTATGAGTATAGCTGAGAGAAATCATTCAAATAGCATTTGAGACACTTATCTATCTAGGTCTAGATTATTCCCCTGTAATAATGCTTTCCTAAAACAGAGCTTTGCATCAGAATTGCCTGAATTGGTCTGTGTATGAATTTATCTTTAATAGTTTCCAAGTTCTGGCCCTAAGTCTGAATCAGCAAGTCTAAATGGGGACCCCATTTATATATTTGATATAGATACACAGACATAACGAGAGGAAGACAGAGAGCATGCACTAAAAATCTCCCTACTTGTTATACTATTTTACTTTTGTATATGTTTTAAATTGCTTATTAGATGGAAGGGAGTAAAAAAGAGTCCCCAAATGGTTCTGACGCATAACCATGCAGCCACTGAACTAAGTTCCCAGAGGAACCATGGATCCTATATACCTATTCTTATCCACCCACAGAACAATGTGATTTTACCCCTGTGAATTAGAAAATGAGAAAAAAGTATCAAGTAAGTTTTCTTAATAAAAGCCTTTCCCAAAGTGAAAGCTTTCCAATTCTACTAACCCTAATTTAGATAGATCTTATCAAATATAAAGTTTTCCGAATAGAGAAGATATGTTCAACTTTAAGTATTTCTACCTAAACATGGTAAATAGTGATCATTAATAGTATCTGCTTTGAGAATAAAATGTAATAAATATTTATGCTTTCCCCAGTCCTATCTTTTCCAGAATTATCGATAAGCTAATTATTATTTCTGTTTGAAGAATGCACTTACGGGGAGGTAACTAGTTAGGACACTACAGTAGTCCAAGAGAGGCGTGTCGTATTTGCCACCACTCTGTAGCTTATCAAATTCTTAAATATTTACTTTTCCTCACAGAACTCTTTCATGACCAACCCAACTTCATGTTCATCACTCACTTAGGTACCTCTATCTAGAATTTGACTGTATTATCATGTACTTCAATTTTCCACAAATTTCTGTACATAAATCACAAGATTATTGGTAGTAACCACGTATTCTACATACATATGTCTAGGTCCAATTTAATGCTGTAAAGCATAGTTGTTATAGTAATGCTAAATTTTAGAATTCCAAACATGAAATTATCAGGGTATTACAAAACATTCTAAATGTTCTCAAAATCCCATAAAAGTAAAATTGTGACAGACATTGATCTGATGAAATACAATGGGAACCTAAATGTGTTCTCATGAAAGCAAATTTGAGAAAAATGATTGGTATATTTTACACTCTGTAAACAATATAAATTGTATAACTAAATATAGAAGTTTCATTTATAGGTGTATTTTTTAAAGAGCAATAATTCTTAGCCACCTCCAGCTTTTTTCAAGAGTAGGATATAAGATTTAGACATGAAATAATTTTTTTTTTTTTTTTTTTTTTTGAGATGGAGTTTCGCTCTTGTTACCCAGGCTGGAGTGCAATGGCGCGATCTCGGCTCACCGCAACCTCCGCCTCCTGGGTTCAAGCAATTCTCCTGCCTCAGCCTCCTGAGTAGCTGGGACTACAGGCATGCGCCACCATGCCCAGCTAATTTTCTGTAGTTTTAGTAGAGACGGGGTTTCACCATGTTGACCAAGATGGTCTCGATCTCTTGACCTCGTGATCCACCCGCCTCGGCCTCCCAAAGTGCTGGGATTACAGGCTTGAGCCACCGCGCCCAGCCGACATGAAATAATTTCACAGGACACCTTACTAAAATCTTACCTCTGGTCTCCACACACACAAAAAAAAAGGTAATCAGATTAAAATGAAAGAGTACCTTAGTTAAGCCAATCTAAATTTGTTTCAACTAAGAAAAATAATAACAATCCTTCATCTAATTTCAAGTGCCAGCCACCCAGGGTATTTCTCAATTGTTATACACTGTTATAATGACAACATAGTTTATACTCGCTTGGAAACTGCTGCTCTAGAGATGTCAGGTCTCTGTAATAACTATTTATGAACATATGGCATGTACTGCTACAGACTAACTTCTCCTTCTGGTAAGCCTTCTATTTATTCCTTCTATTAAGCAATTAATTTTCCATGCCTTAATTTGTCATTTCCATGATTTAATTAAATCATTTTAAATGTATTGATGCTGTACGTATTGTTAACTCTCCTCAAATTCATTTAAAAAGGTAACACAAAAGAATGAAAAAGTGATAATGCCAATTTACCTATCCTTCCTATCTTTCCTACACTTCCTCCGGCATAGTTATTAATTGATCAACTAGAGGTACCCAAAGGAGTAGAAACTGACCAATAACAAAATAATCCTGAAAACAGGGCTAAGTAGTTCACTGGGAAATAGGAAAACTGACTTAAAGTCAGTCAATTAGACCTCTTGATTTGCTACCCCATTCACCACAGCCAGGCCAACACTTGCCCCTATGCAGTATTAGTTTAACTAGCAGTATATATGGAACAACGGGAAACATTTCGGGGCATGGGAATAGAAGAGGGGAGGGAAAGGTGAGTGCAGTCCTTAAAAAACAAAGAATTAAATAAATGTCTGCCTACTGAAAAGAGAATCCCCCACCTCAACCCAAGACCACTGTTCAGCTACAAGAATACTGGCAGCCAGATGTACAGGGTTAGTCACAAAAGGAAATTACAATTTTTTTTCTAGGAAACTGGAAAAAAAAATACAGCTAATGTAGGAGTCACACAATTAAAAAGTGGCTTTCTGCATCGTCACACTAAAGTGAAGCCCCACGTCAAGAAATTCACCCCATCTACACAGAGCGCTTCCATCATCATCACTTTAGAACTTCACTCTTTAAAAAAAGAACAGACACAAAAAAATGATCAGCCGTTCACAGAAACCCTTTAACATAACAAGAGATTAAAACAAGCAAACAGAAAAAAAGAACTTTGAAGACGTGCTGGGACTAAAGAAATCATCCAAAGAACCTATAAATATTCTTAAGAGTAGAGAAGAAAGACACTGCAGTCATGAACTAGGAGCGGAGTTCTTTAAAAGAGATATTTGGAGAATGAGAAATAACTTTTACAAATAAGAATAAAGAGATCAAAAATTAAAGCTTCAACAGAGGAGCTAGAAGATAAAATTAGGGAAATATTCCAGAATATTTTCAGGGCATAAAAGACTGGAATATTAAAAAACCAGTCCAGTAGATCCAGTATCTAAACAATAGACACTCCAGAAAAAGAAGAGAAAGTGAGGGGGGAAAAATATCAAAGATATAACACACACACCAAACTTGAAATACATGGGTTTCCATATGAAAAGGGCTCACCAAGCAAATACCCAGCACATAGAACAAAAAGATCTACATCAAGGTTTATCATCATAAAATTTCAGAAGGCTCAGGTAAAGAAAATCCTAAAAGTTACCAGAAAGAGAAACTGATTGCATATTTGCCTTGATTAGAATGGCTTCAGCCCCATATCCACATCCAGTCATCTCACAAAGCAAGGGATGAATATATAAGCACAATTAAGTTAATAATATTATTAAATGGGCATATTATACACTAATGGTATTTTATCAAATACTTCCTGCTAAATTTCTAAATTTGAGTTAGACTAAAATTAGCCTAAAATTTTTAAGTTGCTTCAAGATTTCTCCATGTCCACAGTCGTTATAGTAAGATAATCAACATAAAATAATTGTACAATAATATTAATGCCAGTAAGTAAGAATATCCAGAAAATACACTACAATCCATTAATGCCAGTAACTAATAGTAAGAATATCCAGAAAATACACTAGAATCCATTAATGCCAGTAACTAATAGTAAGAATATCCAGAAAATACACTAGAATCCATTAATGCCAGTAACTAATAGTAAGAATATCCAGAAAATACACTAGAATACCCTATTATTAAATGACAAAAAAGACCTAGATATTATATAGCGAGCAAGACTGAGTATTCCAAAAACGTTTCAAAGAAGTGATCAACAAGAAGGATTTTGTCCTTTATATTAACAGTGAATATTATGAGTGTTGGAGGTTTTGAAGCAATAAGCACTTCTATGTATAATGGCTACTAAGTGAGTACGCACACAATTATTACTTATTGAATGAATGAATGAATCAATGAAAGATGAAAAAAAAATGTTCCGCTAAATTTCTTCTTGGAATCCAACATATCAAGGGGAAGGGGAAACAAGGCTGTTGGAGTCAGACATAAAAGTAAATACTAACTCTACCATTACTAGTTGTGTGACTATAAGCAAATTAATTTCTGAGCCACAGTTTCCTTATACATTCAGCAGAGATAATAAGATCTCCACATAAGACTATTCTAAAGAATAAATGAGATTAATTATCAAAGCACTAATACAGTTCATTTCATAAACGGTAGCTTTTGTAACTACTACTAGTATCATTAGCAGTATTAGGCTGCTGCTGTTACTACTGCTTCATCTTGGCCAGGCACAGTGTCTCACACCTGTAATTCCATCACCTTGGGAGGCCAAGAAGGATGGATCACCTGAGCTCAGGAGATTCAGATCAGCCTGGGCAACATGGTAAAACCTTGTCCCTACTAAAAATACAAAAAATTAGCCAGGCATGGTGGCATGCACTTGGTGGCATGCACTTGTAATCTCGGCAACTCGGGAGGCTGAGGCACAAGAATTGCTTGATCCTGGGAGTCAGAAGTTGCCATGAGTTGACATCATGCCACTGCACTCCAGACTGGGTGACAGAGCAAGACTCTGCTCAGGGGGGGAAAAAAATTACACATTCTAAAAAAGAAGACTGGAAGTTAACACACGGCTTGATAAGCTAACATAAACACAGTAAAATTCAAGGAGACTGTATTTACCTGTTTAACCATGCTCAAGTCTCCACATGCCATGTGGAGAAAAGTATAAACTGAAGTACAAAATAGAATTATTCAAACCCAAAATCAACTTATATTTTTTTAAATATCTGGGAATAAAGTGTTAAATAAAGGCTAAGATCATCCCTTTTTTTTAAACACCGTAATTCACCTCTATGTTTTGGTTTAGTTTGCATAATGGAGTAACAATTCAATAGAGCCACTCAAAATAAGGTCTGAATGAATGCCTCCCTCATCCATTTCAGGGAGGAAAAGCCCTAAAAGTGTATTATATGTTTATTAAAAGCATCACTCTGACTCTATGACCATAATATAAGAAATGATATATGCCTGATCTTTGCTACTAACTTCTGGCACAGAGCTTCAAAACCACTTACTAGTAGACATTTCTTTGTTATACTAATGAGGTAAGTCATCATGGGGCCCCTACATAGCTTCAGAATAAGGCTGATCACCAGAAAACCAACTAGAGGTTAGACAGATTAGATCAGAGGGTTGGAACTTTCAGCCCTTCCCTTCCCTTTCCCCCAGTCCCCTACCTCTGTGAGCAGGAGACTAGGGATAGAGTTCAAGCATATGGTAAATGATTTAATCAATCATGCTTATTTTGTGAGACCTCAATTAAAAACTCTGAATATAAGGTTCAGAGTTTCCTGGTTGAACATACTGCTTTAGTGGGAGAGTGGTGTACCGGGCATGGGGATGAAAGCTTCTGCACTCAGAATCCTTCCAGACTGTGTGCTATGTACCTCTTCATCCTGTTCATTTATGTCCCTTCTAATTGAAGAGTAATTGTAAGTACAGCAATTTCCTAAGCTCTGAGTCACTGTAGCAAATTATCAAACCAGAGGGAACCCCTAAATTTGTAGTCAAGTGAGTTTATCAGAAGTCCAGATGACACCCAAGACTTAGAGCTTGTGTCTGAAGTAGGGGTAGTCTTGTTGGACTATGTCCCTTAACCTGTGGAGTCTATGCTAACTCTGAACAATTAAGAGTCAGAATTGAATGGAATTGTTGGAACTTCCCAAAACTTCTCCAAAGGCACCAGAAGTCTGGTGCCAGGAGTTCAAGACCAGCCTGGCCAACACGGTGAAACTCCATCTCTACTAAAAATACAAAAATTAGCCAGACGTGGTGGCAGGCACCTGTAAGTCCAGCAACGTGGGAGGCTGAGGCAGAGGTTGCAGTGAGCCAAGAATGTGCCATTGGACTTCAACCTGGGCAACAGAGTGAGACTCAGTCTCAAAAAAAAAAAAAAAAAAGTAAACATTTTGCTAGAACAACGGGGGTGGACAGAGGGATTTGATCTTTACCTCATAACACACCAAATACAAATTTCAGATGACTTAAAGACATAACTATTAAAAGTTCAACATTCTAGGTCTTAAAATATATAAGAGACTGTATGTATAACTTCAAGGTAGAAAAGAATTTCTTATTTAGACATAAAAATCTCAAAAAGATGAAAACTTATAAGTTTGAGCACATTAAAATCTAAATTGCAATTTCTGCTTCGAGCAACATGGCAGACTACAGTTTCAGAAAAAGCTTTCCTGGAACAGCAGTTTTTAAAATTCTGGATAAAATAATCATGGAGGCAGATCAAGAGAATTCTTTGGAGACAAAAACAAGAAGAAAGCATCAATCCATAAACTGGATGACAGCCAAAGGCCAACATAAAGAGTAAGAAAGTCACACTGGGACCACCACATAAGTCTAGACCCACAAAGAACTTTAGCCTCAATGTGAAATTGTCCACAAAAGCAATTGAAGTAACTAACTTCTCAACAGCAAAAGGCAGTGAAATGACACCTTCAAAATGCTAATGCTAAAAGAAAATATCTGCAGAGAAGTCTATATCCAGCAAAACTCCTTCTAGAATGAAGTTAAAATAAACACTTTTCAAGTTAACAAAAAAATGACCTTCACTAAAGGAGAACGTGTCAGACTGAAACTAATTGAGCCTAGATGGAAGATCATACAATATCTTCTTTCTCAACATACAAGAAAGATTCACAAAGATCATAGCTGGTAAACACTGACTTGTAAAACAAGAAGCATAATGCCTAATCTGTAGATTTTTTAAAAAGTGAAAATAGATGTAAAATCACAAACAATATTTCATAAGAACAATATCATATCCTCTTAGGAGAAGAGAATGACAGTGATAGGAATTAAAGCATGCTAAGGTTCTTACACAGGTGAGGCACATAATTATAACTTTAGTCTTACTGGGATAAACCACCACTAAAACAACAGAAAAAGTACATATGCCGTTCAAATAACAGAGGGCAAGAAATAAAATGAAGAGAACCTTAAGCACTCAAAAACAAAGCAAGAAAAAGATTTAAAAGATAATGAGAAAGCACTGTTTGAAAAAATTAACAAGAAGATCAAAATTGGGAGACAAATTAGAAAGCTACTTCAGTATGAAGAAAAAAGGTCTCAAAACAATACATAATGACTGTAAAGAGGAGAGTGGGGGTAAGAAAGGGTGAAGAACTTTTGCCTTACTTACACTGTTTATCTTACAATAAAAAGATATTTCTCTATTACTTATGACATTCACACACACACACACACACACACACACACACACACACACACACACACAGAGCTACTTCAACCGTCCAGGCAATAGATAATAAAGATAATTCACAGAAAAGAGATGGCAGGTGAATTCCAGTTTCTCACTTGGGTATCTTAGGATTGTGCCACCTATTCAAACAAGAGAAGTTGACTTGGTGAGAAATGCAGGTTTGCAAATATCTAAAAAATATATTTTAATAGTTAGATATCATGTCTACAATAGAAGCAAGGAAGCCTGGATTACAGAAAGAGATACAGGTAATTTGTGCATAGATCATTACACAGAGAGACTGCTGGGGAATACCCAACAGGTAAAACACCAACACCATGTAAAGGAAGACAAGTTCATTGAGCATTATGGAATATGCTACTTCCATCTTAAAATATTTTAGACAACTGCTACTAGGGTGAACAGGAATCTTTGTTTAAAAAAAAAGTACTGAAATACACTGAAAAGTCTATTAAACATTTTAAAATATCCATCCTCTAAAAACTTCTCTACATGAAATACAATTTCAGTATTTACATTTAGATATTTAATATTACATTTATTATATTTAGACGCTTGTATATGAACAAAGGAATTCAATCTAAAACCATTAATATGAGTTGAGTTTGCCATTTTTTTTATTGTAGATGTTTAAAATACGCACTCTAATCTTATTAAATAAAAAAGCCCCATTTTCAAGCTTTAAAGACAGCTATAAACTATTCCAATTTAAAGTGTTAACATGAAATTATTAGAGAATATAAAATTAAAAGTTCATTTTTTGGAATACCTAGAAATTAACCTGATACTAAACACGTTACAGACATAACTACATTCCAGCATACAGTTCATTAAAGCAGAATTAAAATTATACACGACAGTCTAAGGTTAGCAAACCAAGACCACCAAAATTTATATTACTGAAAGTGTATGGGGAGGTTAGGAAACATGGTAATTAAACCACAGAAGATAGAGTGTGTTACATGGGCTTTGTTAACTCCTCCTGACACTATCCTATATCACTATACTAGCCCTAACATGTTGATGATTATGCATGCACTTTGTATAACTATCTCAAGTGCCAAGTAAACACAGCCTTCTGTAATTATTTCAGAGGGGGTAGGAGAGGACTACTGAAAAAAGTCTCAGTGCAGAGCCAAAGTATCAGCATAGGGCCATTATCTATTACTTCAAGGCCTGATACCCAAACCTTGCCTCAGAAAGCAGATACATATTTATACATTCTGCCTGAGATCAAAGAAAAGCACGCTCTACAATGACTCCAATAGTTTTATCTTGATGTTACTAAAGACAAACAAGACTTTCAAATGGAAAGAGTGAAAGTCAGCACTTTGCAAAGAGAGCTCAGGCTTGTCAGAGTACAGTATATCCTTCTCACCAACTTCAACTATTCCCCGAACTTAATATTCCATTGACTAAATCTGTATTTATCCTACTAATGAAAAACCTCCAGTTATTATTTGTTGTTTTCCAACAACTTGGCCAGCCTACTTGGCCAGGTTGTCAACTTTCAACCTGAGTTGACAGGCAGGGACCTTCAATCACAACCAGGCTACTTTGAGGGGTGAAATAAAAATCTTCATCTTGGCATACCTATAACCTATTTATGGCATATTATTGTAACCACAGCACATGAGTAGGCAAGATTTAGTCAAATGCTTCTGATACTCGAAGGTAGGTCTAGACACAGCCTTAGAATGTCTTATGTACTTTTGATAGGAAAGCCAAATCATACCAAGATAAAACTTGGCTGTAAAACTCTAATTAAATACATACACAAATATACACATTTGAATCAGCACTAGAATCTCCAATAATGAAACAGGTATTTGTATGTAAGCTAGAAACACAAATTCTTACGCAGTTTAAGCTTCCGATATTTTCATGCTAATTATAATACCTATAACCACTAAGAGAAACATCTAAGTAACTAAAATACAAAACCTGTACACCAATTTCAAATTGGATACGTAATAAGAAATCAAAGAATATAATGCAAGGGTATTTACATAAAGTCTAAGTAAAATCTTCTGAAATCATATATAGGTTTTCTATGCAAATTTTTCTGGGGAAAGGGTCTACAGAAGTTCCATGAGATTCTCAAAAAAATAGACAAGTTGTTTTTTAGTATCTTTATTGAAATATGTAGCAAACAGAACTTTTTCCTAATTCTGGTCTTACATATGTTTATATATCCACTTCTTTAAACTGTCAATGTAAACTGACTTCTAAGGGTACCTGGCCTGTGTTGGCCTCAGATTCCTTCTTGTTAAAATGGGAATAGCACTATTGCCCTGTTTTTTACAGAAATGCTGAGCATATTAATTTGTTTGTGAAGTAGAAAGTTTTCTAGACAATTAGAAATTTCTAAAGAAATGTCAATATAAAATAATTCGATAATGTTCTTATTGATATTTTAATGTGTGTCAGTATGGTCTACAAAGACATTTAAAATTTCAAACAAAGCAACTGCCATAAAAAGAACAAGGTTTGTCTTAAAAGTACTGATACCCAGATTTTAATTCTCTCAGCCTGTCTTCTCTCATTCAGTTTGTAAATCTCTATAAACATGTAGAATTATACTAGAATATATTTTACTTAAAAGAAGAGTAGTTATGTGTACTTTAGGCTAAGGATGACTACAGTGAAATTCTTAGGTCAAAATTCCAAGCATCCATTGGAGTATCCCTAAAGAATACCACCCATCCTCAAGCAAATTAGAACTCAGAATTAAGAAACTAAGAACTGCACAACTTCATGGAAACTGAACAACCTGCTCCTGAATGTTGACTGGATAAACAATGAAATGAAGGTAGAAATAAAGATGTTCTTTGAAACCAACGAGAACGAAGACACAATACACCAGAATCTCTGGGACACATTTAAAGCAGTGTCTAGAGGGAAATTTATAGCAATAAATGTGCACCAGAGAAGCGAGGAAAGATCTAAAATCGACACTCTATCATCAAAATTGAAAGAGCTAGAGCGGCAAGATCAATAAAACTCAGAAGCTAGCAGAAGACAAGAAATAACTAAGATCAGAACAGAACTGAAGGAGATAGAGACAAAAAAAAAAAAAAAAAAAAAAAAAAAAAAAAAACCTTCAAAAAAATCAATAAATCCAAGAGCCGGTTTTTTGAAAAGATCAACAAAATAGACCACTAGCCAGATTAATAAAAAAGAAAAGAGAGAATAATCAAATAGATGCAATAAAAAATGAAAAAGGGGATGTCACCACCAATTCCACAGAAATACAAACTACCATCACAGATTGCTACAAACAACTCTTTGTACACAAACCAGTAAACCTTAAAGAAATGGATAAATTCCTGGACACTTGCAACCTCCCAAGCCTAAACCAGAGAGAAGCTAAAACCTTGAACAGACCAATAACAAGGGCTGAAGGTAAGGCAACAATTAATAGCCCCAACCAAAAAAAGTCCAGGTCCAGACAGGTTCGCAGATGAATTCTACCAGACGTAAAAAAGAGGAGCTGGTACCATTCCTTCTGAAACTATTCCAAACAATACAAAAAGAGGGAATCCTTCCCACATCATTTTATGAGACCAACATCATCCTGATACCAAAACCCAGCAGAGACTCAACAGAAAAAGAAAACTTCAGGCCAATATCCATGATGAACATACATGCAAAAAATCTTCAATAAAATACTGGCAGGCTGATTGCAACAGCACATCAAAAAGCTTATCCATCACAATCAAGTAGGCTTCATCCCAGGGATGCAAGGCTGGTTCAATATACGCAAGTTTATAAACGTAATCCACCACATAAACAGAACCAAAGGCAAAAACCACATGATTATCTCAATAGATCCAGAGAAGTCCTTCAACAAAATTTAACAGCCCTTTATGCTAAAAACTCTCAATAAACGAGGTATCAAAGGAACATATTTCAAAATAATAAAAGCTATTTATGACAAACCCACAGCCAATATCATACTGAATGGGCAAAAACTGGAAGCATTCCCTTTGAAATCTGGCACTAGACAAGGATGCCCTCTCTCATCACTCCTATTCAATATAGTATTGGAAGTTCTAGCCAGAGCAATTAGGCAAGAAAAAAAAATAAGGCATATTCAATTAGGAAAGGAGGAAGCCATATCGTCTCTATTTGCCAATGACATGGTTGTATATTTAGAATATCCTATCATCTCAGCCCAAAATCTCCTTAAACTGATAAGCAACTTCAGCAAAGTCTCAGGATACAAAATCAATGTGCAGAAATCACAAGCATTTCTCTACACCAATAAGAGACTAACAGAGAGCCAAATCATGAGCGAATTTCCATTCACAATTGCTATAAAGAGAATAAAATACCTAGGAATACAACTAACAAAGGATGTAAAGGACCTCTTCAAGGAGAACTACAAACCACTGCTCAACGAAATAAGAGAGGACACAAACAGATAGAGAAACATTCCATGCTCATGGTTAGGAAGAATCAAAATCATGAAAATGGCCATACTGCCCAAAGTAATTTATAGATTCAACGCTATCCCCAAGAAGCTACGAATGACCTTCCTTAACGTAACTGGAAAAAACCACCTTAAACTTCATATGGAACCAAAGGAGAGCCCACATAGCCAAGACAATCCTAAACAAAAAGAACAAAGCTGGAGGCATCACGTTACCTGATTTCAAACTATACTAAAAGGCTACAGTAATCAAAACAGCATGGTACTGGTACCAAAACAGAGATATAGACCAATGGAACAGAACAGAGGCCTCGGAGGCAATGCCACACATCTACAACCATCTGATCTTTGACAAACCTGACAAAAAACAAGCAATGGGGAAAGGATTCCCTGTTTAATAATTGGTGTTGGGAAAACTGGCTAGCCATGTATAGAAAGCAGAAATTAGACCTCTTTCTGTCACCTTACACTAAAATTAATTCCAGATGGATTAAAGACTTAAACATAAGACCTAACACCATGAAAACCCTAGAAGAAAACCTAGGTGAAACCATTCAGGACATAGGCATGGGCAAGGACTTCATGACTAAAACACCAAAAGCATTGGCAACAAAAGCCAAAATAGACAAACGGGACCTAATCAAACTCCAGAGCTTCTGTACAGCAAAAGAAACAATCATTAGAGTGAATGGGCAACCAACAAAATGGGAAAAAAATTTTTCCAATCTACCCATCTGACAAACGGCTCATATCCAGAATCTAGAAAGAACGAAAACAGATTTATAAGAAAAAAACAAACCCACTCAAAAGTGGGCGAAGGATATGAACATACACTTTTCAAAGAAGACATTTATGAGGCCAACAAATGTGAAAAAATGCTCATCATTACTGGTCATTATAGAAATGCAAATCAAAACAACACTGAGATACCACCTCATGCCAGTTAGAATGGCGATCATGAAAAAATCTGGAGACAACAGATGCTGGAGAGGATGTGGAGAAATAGGAACACTTTTACACTGTTGGTGGGAGTGTAAACTAGTTCAACCACTGTGGAAGACAGTGTAGCAATTCCTCAAGGACCTAGAAATAGAAATTCCATTTGACCCAGCAATCCCATTACTGGGTATATACCCAAAGGATTATAAATCGTTCTATTATAAAGACACATGCACACGTATGTTCACAGCAGCACTGTTTACAATTGCAAAGACCTGGAACCAACCCAAATGCCCATCGACACAAGGAAAATGTGGCACATATACACCATGGAATACTATGCAGCCATAAAAAATGATGAGTAGGGACATGGATGAATCTGGAATCCATCATTCTCAGCAAACTGACACAAGAACAGAAAATCAACACCACATGTTCTCACTCATAGGCGGATGTTAAACAATGAGAACACACAGGGACACAGGGAGGGAAGCATCACACACTGGGGTCTGTTGTGGGGGGCCCAAGGGAGCGATAGCAGTGGGGGTGGGGAGGTCGGGGAGGAATAACATGAAGAGAAATGCCAGATGTAGTTGATGGGGGGATAGAGGCAGCAAACCACATTGCCCTGTGTGTACCTATGCAACAATCCTGCATGATCTGCACACATACCCCAAAACCTAAAGCACAATAAAAAAAAAAAAAAGAAACAAACAAACAAAAATACTGCCCATCCTAAAGTGATATGCTAGAAGACTCCTATAGCAGTCATTCTTTTGAGAACACATGGTCATAGCTTTTCTAAGAGCAAAGTGTTTTCAGAGTAAAATTATTTTTATGCTACAGAAAGGAAGCTAAGAAAAGAAAACCAGCTATGTTCTCCCTTGATGAAACTCTACATATGTATTTCTAAAAGTATTCCTATAACCTGAAAATTACTTAACAGGCTGTACCCTTTTGAAACACTTAGGTCAGGTTTCTCACAGGCATCCAGCAGGTATCTCCATATCCTGTTTCTTTCAACCAAAATCTTATACAATTTCTTGCTGCTGTCAACTTTATGACTTGAATATGATTTTCTCTAAGGACCTGACTTACTGGCACTTGAGGAAACTAGTTCAGTAAAAACATACCAGACTCCAAGACTTTCCTAGGCAGAATCTGTCTTTTTGATTCTTAGGCCTAAGTGATAAGCTCATTATAATACATTCCCACCAAATGCAGTGGTTCATGCCTGTAATAGCAATACTTTGGTAGGCCAAGGCAGGAGAACTGCTTGAAGCCAGAAGTTTGAGGCCTGCATGGGCAACGAAGTGAGACGCCCATCTCTACAAAAAAATTTTAATTAGCCAGGCATGATGGCACACACCTGTGGTCCCAAATGAGGAGGAAGTTTCCCTCAATTGAGCCCAGGAGTTCGATGCTGCAGTGCATTATGATCATGACAATGCACTCCAGCCTAGGTGACAGAGTGAGACCCTATCTCTAAAATAAAGCACAATACATTCCTAATCAAAGGCAAATTATCTTCAAGATAATCAACATAAAACTTTTTCACATTGCTGAAAGTTCAAGCCATTACAAAACAATACAAAACATATGTGACAAGCTTATAATGCTGCAAGACCTAAATGAAGGATAACTTTACTGAGAGAAATTTTTTAACTTAATAAAAATGGTAAGACACACTATATTTCTGGAAAGCACTACTTAATACTTTCAATATGCCAATCCCTCCAAATTAATATGTAGTTTTCATACAATGCAAACCAAAATCCCAATACTGCCGAATTACCTAAAGTTAATTTATTAAACCTGGAATTTTCTGGACCTTTTTCTAAACCTGGAATTGAATCTCTGGGATTCAAGTCAAGGGATCTGTTCAATAAAGCACCCTAGATGAAACTTAAGAACCCTTACATTAGTCCTGCTAGCTACTAATAATACATTTGAAGGCCATTAACAAAGCAGATATTCATAATGGACTGCTTTGATCACTTTGGGGTAAGTTTTTTTCCTTCCTCTTAGGAGACTGGCTAAAAAAGAACGTGACCTGTGGAAATAACAGAACTGGCATTACCTGAGAGCTTGCTGATAATGCTGAACCTCCAGCCCTACCCAGATGTACTAAATTCAAGCAGTTCAATAAATCCCAGGTGATTCACATACGTATTAGAGTTTAAGAAGCACTGTCTTAAGGACTAAGACTCCCCTAAATTACAATGCTCTTAAAAAGTAATACATCTGAAACAGGCCAGGGGGCATTCATAGTCCTTTTGAACTTCCCTGCTGTATCACCAGACTCTAGGACCCCTCATCACAACTCCCATGCATAAAGCTGAAATGAAGGCTACAATGAAACCATTACCTTTTGACTTTCTTTTATTCCCAGTCACAACATCCTTTCCCCTCCTTTATATTCACTTTTTTATCCTACAGTGGAACAGTCACATTTTAGAATATCTTTTTTTTTTTTTTTAGCAGAACTGAAAAAGACTACAGATTTAATTCTCCACCAATATTACTCTTTCTCCCTTTTTGCATATCAAAACTCCTCCATTCATAAATACAAAGCCTGGATACAGATCACATTCATCCATTTCACAACTTCCTTCTCACCAGAATATCAGGCCCCAAGAAAAGCATTAAATTTTAGTGAACTCTTATATACTGCTGTTCATCTCTTCTTCCCAAATTCAGTATTATGCCAACCTCTCCTTGGGACTCCTTTCAGTGGCCTTGTAACTATTAAGTACAAAAATACCTCATCTCTTCCATCAGATTTCCTAAACAGCATCTGCAACTCTTTAACCCAACATCTGCTTTCTCAGATCAACTTCAATGTTCCCTTCACCCAGTGACCATACTCAGTCACGTCACCTAAACTGCAATTATCTCACAATAGTTAATTAGACAGCTCTTCCCATGTTCATTTTTTCAACAAACATTAATAAGTATCTGTGACAGTCTCTGGAACACATTTTCAATAGGACACCGTTTGTGTGAGTTTGTAGTCTACTGAGAAAGACAAAAAATTATGGCACACTGTGATAAACTCTTCAGCAAATACAACTGAAGTACAAAGGGTTAAAATGAAAAAACTATGTTTGGAATACCCTCAATCCAGCATTCTCTCTTTACTTCAACAAGCCCTGGAATTTCATTGTTTTAGGAAGTCTTTCTTGATGAGAACTGATTACAAAAGCCAAGAATCAACTGCATAGATAGCATCACAGACTTATTCAAACTAAACATGCAACCACTTAATTCACATATCCTCCAATTCAGTGGCTTATTTATATAATCCCTCTTATGATTAGAGATAAATAGTAAGCAAACATCCCATAACTTTATTACAGCTGGCATGGTGGCTCACACCTGTAACTCCAGCACTTTGGGAGGCCGAGGTTGGAGAATCACTTGAGCCCAGAGGTTCAAGACCAACCTGGGAAACACAGTGCGACCTCGTTGCTATAAAATATTTAAAAATTAGCCAGGCATGGTGGTACACGCCTGTAGTCCCAACCACGCAGGAGGCTGAGGTGCAAGGATTGCTTGGGACCAGGAGATCAAGGCTGCAGTGAGCCAAGATCATGCTACTACCATAACAGAGCAAGGTCATCTCAAAAAGAGAAAGAAAAAAACAGAATGATTACCACTTTAACACGTTTAATGTTTTCAAACTCTATTAATGCTCAACTTTCAAAGAATTATCTCATTTGATCAGGTTCCCTGCATGAAGTGTATGAAATCTCCAATTTAGTGGTGGATTGTGCTCTGACAGTTTCGAAGTCTACTTTTGGTATTCAGAATAATTTCCCACAGAAACAGTCTTATATGTGATTACTAGGTTCTTGGGTCGGTTTACAGTTTAATACTAACAGTATTGTAATACCTAATGACTCTCTATAAAAACATTTCTATGGAAACATTCATTTAAGGTTCCAACTTGAGAGGCCGAGAATGCATCTCATTGTATCCCAGCAAAACAGATTTCACCCAGCCTACCAAACTGTCAGAAAGGGATTCCCCCCAGATCCAAGATACAAGCAGTACCCAAAAAACTACAAGCAGAGGTTAGGGGAGGAGTCTACAAATTTTACAGCAGTTTCTTGCTTTTCTTTGGTCACATGCCCTTTTGAGAATATAATGAAAGCCGTAAGTCCTCTCCAAGAAAAATGCACATGGATATCTATGAACCCCAGGTGAATAATCCCAACTAAAAAATGCACACTATCCACTGTAAGCTGTACACTATAGCTCAGCACTGTCCAATACATCCAATATAATGTGAGCCACATATAAAATTTTTTAAATTCTAGTAGCTGCATTAACATGGTAAAAAACTGTAAAATTAGTTTTAATAATACATTTTTGACCCAATATACCAAAATTATCATTTTAACATGTAATCAATAGTATAAAAATATTAAAAAGATCTTTTACATTTTTTGATATTAAAGCTTTGAAATCCAAGTGCATTTTATATGTACTGCATATCTCAAATCCGTGTAGCAACATTTTAAGTACTCTATAGCCACATGTGGCTACTAGCTACTGTATCAGACAGTTTCAGTACACTATACATTGTAGACCCACAGATTATCAGTCTTTTGGCATCAGGATCCCTTTACATTCCTAAAAATTATCAAAAACCTCAGAGTGCTTTGCTTACATGGGTTACATCAATCCATATTTACTATATTAAAAATTAAAACTGAAAATTTTTAGACATTAATTCATTTAAAATAACTCAGTACATAACATTTTAATAAAAAGTTATACTTTTCAAAAGAAAAACTTAGAGGCTAGAGTAGCACTGTTTAACATGCTTGCAAAACTCTTTAACATTGGGCTTAATAGAAGACTGTTGGATTCTCGCACCTACTTCAACAGTACATCTATGATACGTTGTTTTGGTTGAATGAAGCACATAAAGATAATTTAGCCTCACACAGGTAAGTAGAGGAAAAGGTGAAGATTATTTTATAGTCTTTTCAGATAACTATGAATAGTCTATTCTTTCCTATGGCAGCAAAATATGATCATTAGTTCCTTCCTATTGTAGCAAAATATGATCATTAGTTTGTTGTAATATGGAATCTAAAACAACATCACTGAATTTTTTGCAGTTACAATTAAAATCCAGTGGTCCCCGGGCATGGTGGCTCACATCTGTAATCCCAGCACTTTGGGAGGCCAAGATGGGCAAACCACGAAGTCAGACATTCAAGACCAGCCTGGCCAACATGGTGAAACCACATCTCTACTAAAAATACAAAAAAAATTAGCTGGGTGTGGTGGCGCATGCCTGTAATCCCAGCTACTCAGGAGGCTGAGGCAAGAGAATCACTTGAACCCAGAAGATTGCAGTGAGCTGAGATTGTGCCACTGCACTCCAGCCTGGGCAACAGAGTGAGACTCCATCTCGAAAGAAAAAAAAATCCAGTGGTCAATCTTGTACTTTGTATTTGTAACATCATGTGTTTGGAAAATATAGGTTATACAGATATTCCATTACAGAACTTCAAAAAAAAAAAATCACATTTGTTAATATTATCACCTATCTCCTCAGAAAGGCTTTCAAAGTAATAGAGAACTGTCAAGCTCACAACACCTGATACAAGTCTCCTAAAATTCTGATTTTCTTTGAAAGTTCAAATTCCTCCATTAATAAGACGTGTAATTTGTTTTCCTTGAAGTGACAGACTCATTTCATCTTTTGATAAAATGGCTGCCAAATATCCAAGTCCAAATGGATAATCATAGTTTGTCATTGTTTCAAGTAAAAATGATACTCTATGAAAAAGGCACCTACTTCAGCCACACCACCATCACCCAAGTGCTCTTCCTCAATTACATCATACTGCTTTCTTATGCAACAAAAGTGCTTTGTGTATTTCCGATTTTGTTACAGATATTAAAAAGGCATATACTTAAAAATGGTAAATAAGCACATGAAAAGATGCTCAAAATCACAAATCATTAGGAAAATGTACATCTTTTATGTTCTTCTATAACAATATTGTGATTTTCTTCACAGAGGTTCTGCACATTTCTTAGATAGATAACACTTCATTAGGAAGGCTACCTATTATTAAAAAAAAATTGCAAGCATTGGTGAGGCAAGGATGTACAGAAATTGGAGCCCATGTGCATTACCTTTGGGAATGTAAAATGGTATAGGCACTATGAACAACAGTAGGGCAGTTCCTTAAACATTAAACATAGAATTATCATATGATACAATAATTCCACTTCTGGATATACGCCAAAAGGAAAAAAGAAAGGAGGGACTCAAACATATACATATACAAACATATACATATTTGTACACCCATATCTATGGCAGCATTATTCACAACAGCCAACGGTAGAAACAACCCAAATGCACACAAACAGATAAAATGTGAAATATTATTCAGTCTTAAAAAGGAATGAAATTCTGATGTAGACTACAACATACAACAAGGATGAATACCTTAAAGACATTTTTAAGTAAAATAAGCCAGACAAAATGCTAAATGTTGTTAAATTCCACTTCTGTAAGGTATCTAAAATAGTTAAATTCATAGAAAATGGAAAGTAAATCATGGTTATCAGTTATCTAAAGGAATAGTGGAAGTAGAAAATTACTGTTTGATGGGTATGGATTTTGTTTAAAATGATGAAAGTTTTCTGGAAATAGTGATGAGGAATGCACAACAATTTGAATGTACTTAATGCCACTGAATTGTACACTTAAAAATGGTTGAGGTAAATCTTATGTTCATTTTGCCAAAAGAAAAGACATGTACTCAAGGGCCAAGAGTAACGAAATGCTTTTCACTACGTTGATTATTGTTAGGGTGCATGCAGTGTGAATGCCAATACAGTATGTCTTAAGTATCAATTATGTCATAGTATCATTATAAAAATGTTTTTTACCTGATAGACCCCCTACCAAAGGCCCTTGGGGTCCATACACCACACTATGAGAACCATTATCAAAATCTATTTTTTCAGAAAAGTCAATTAATAAAGGAAGCAAAGAGTAGGAAAGATCACAAAAGTTTTATTTTTGTTTATTTCGTCTGAGATGAGAGAAACAGGCTTACATGTTGAACAGGATATAAACTGGTATACCTCAACAGGTATAAAAAAAATATTAAGGAACAAATAAAAGTAAGAGAAAAATCAGATAATTGATGGGAGAAAAAGAATGGGAGAGAAAAGATGACCAATGGTTCAGCCTCTATCTAAAGTTCGAAGAGAGACAAATATTAGAGGCAGATGGGAGGGCGGAACGTATCACATTTTTAAAAATTTTATTATTATTATTTAGAGACAAGGTCTCACTCTGTCACCCCAGATGGAGTGCAATGGCACTCATTGCAACCTTGAACTCCACCTTGGCCTCCTGAGGCGTGGACCACCCATGCCAGGCTCTATCTACATTTTGACTAACAAAAAAGCTACTTTTACTCAGAAAAAATAGACACTAGATGAATGCTTCTTGATAATGATGGTGATAATTCCATAGTTTGAAAAATATTGGAAATGTTATAGTTTATATTTTTAATTGTTTTTGTACTAAGTTTATTTAGGAAGAAATGACATGTTGACAATATTGAGTCTTCTTAACTAGTAACATGATATAGTTCTCTATTTAGACAAGTTTTATTTTGTGTCCTTCTATAACAACATTATGGTTTTATTCAGAGGTTCTGCACATTTCTCATGAGTTTAGCTCTTAGGTGATATATACTGTTTCACTATTATGAATGTAATTTATTTTCTAATTCATTATTACTGGGATATAAGAAGATATTAAGCTTTATTTAATTACTATTCTACAAATATATCTTATAAATGCTAGTTGCGCTTCAATATTCTTGAGTTTTATACCTGGACAATAATGACATTTCCAAATAAGTTTAGTTTAGAAATCTTATCCTTTATCTTAAAATCATAAATCAACCACCATTCTATTTTGAATTTTACTTGCCTGTGTATAAAAATATGCCAAATGTGTAAAAGTAATGTCATGTCCTTTTTAAGGTAACTGCTTTATAATATCACAGAAATTTATATCACTTTAAAGATTCAGATGTTTTGTATTCCAACTTTAAGTCAAAAGCATTTGTGTTGTCATCTAATAAACAGAAATTTAAAATAACCTTGTTTTCTTTTTACTTTGAACACCACACAAACTTATTAAGTAAAAATGCAAATAGGGACCTGATATTACAGTACGTCAGACTCCATAACCTTGAACAAGGAACAGAAGAAAAGTGGAGGATAAAAACTCAGCTATTTCTCTTCCTCTTTCCCCTTCCTCCCTACAGAAGGTCCTATGTGTTGCTATGCTAAATTCAACTAAAGAAGCTGAATTAATATGACTTTATACTACATACTTTATAGTTCACAAATATATTATTTCATTTATGACTCGTCCTCTCTAGACTGAGACAACAGACTAACCTGGGAGGAGCTGGGATTTAAACTTTTAAAATTAATTGTAACATCTTAGCTCAAATAACTGCAGCACATGGTTTGATGGCCTTAGGAAAATGCAAACCTGGAAAGCTTTAACTTTGAAACTTGAGCTAAAATGTTTCAGAATACTTCTTCCACCTCATACTCCTCAGGCACCCAGTAATACTCCAGCTGCCTTCAGACTATTAAAAGTCCCCAGGTCCCTTATGCCTATAAAGCATAGGAGCCAATTAAAGAGGCCATAAGTAAAAGTACTTAGGCATAAGGGAAAAAAATGAAAAATAAAAATAAAAGAAAGGGGCTATAACTACTAGAAAGAGTGCTGGTCATGAGAACTAAGTTCTACTCTCCACAACCAACACAATCAACACTCATAGTGTGACTTTGGGCTCATTCATTACTCCATTTTCTCATGGTTAAATGAGGGAACTAAATGAGGGAACTACATCTGGACAATCACTACAATTATGGGAAATTTAATGAAGCACTAGCATTTTCAAAGACTGTTAGTCCAACAATACCGATTTTCGCAGTTAACATAATCCTTAGGATATTTTCTGAAAGAGGTTCTGAGAAGGTCTGATTTTTAATTCAGGTTCTTATACATCGTTCCCTATATTTCGTCTTCCAAAACATTTAAAAAAAAAAAATAGAATTGACCTTATACTATTCATAATGACCCACCACAACTTTTTGAAATATCTATAGAGTATTTAAAAAAAATAAAGAGCCACTATTCTGAGAACAAATTTGAACCTTGAATCTGTATATTAAAAGTTTTTCAAGCTAGAAATGTATGAGCATTAGTTACATTCAACCCTGAACACTACGGATTCATACCGCTTACAAATGTACTTCCAACATTCCCTATGGATAGGCAAAATACCATACACAAACATATTTTTAAAAAATAAAACTCATGGGCTTTTAATATTTCTAAAGTTCCTACCTCACTGAGGTGAAAAACCAGAAAATCCAG